TCAGAGGGTGGACTCTATAGAATTACACCCCTGCTGAGCGCCCTCCTTTCCCCAACCTCTGTCCTCCCCAGGCACGATCCCCAAATCTCCAGGGATTTCGTAAACTAGAATCGCCAACCTTACTGAGAGCTGTGCTATGTAGGATAAAGTGGCAACCTGAGTGGCAGAATTCTCGACTGGCTCCCATTTTCTCACTTTCTAACGTGCTAGTGACATGCGGGGAACTTTTTACATGGGGGAGCATTCAAAATTATCCCCCTTCACCTGCCACCTTAAGCAATACAGTTTCTGCCACCTCAGTCCAAGAGTGGGCATAAGTGTTCTCCTATATATAAACAGCAAACTTCTTCTGGTGCATCTGGACTAAACTCACCACTACTTTCAAACATTACGTATCTTCACATTTTCAGGTACTTTCTGCATTTGGTCATTTAAAAGATGCCGGGAGGGAACAGAGGCACCGGAACTAGCCACAGAGTTTTCTAGAGATTATTCTTACATGCCAACACCGCTGGATACCTAGATTTTCCATGAGCACGTGTGTTTCTTATACATTCATTAGCTAGCCCTTTTAGCATGCAAAACACTTTCTGATCCATCTCATGCCACGCATGCAAGATCATACCCCGTACTCATCAACAGCTTGCCTGGCCTAACCACCACAAGCACATGGTAATTATTGGCCACCCATGAATAAACATTTTACTGCCTTGATTGTAAGCACAGTAATAGGGCTAAAGAACACTAGGAGCAGGGGTCATGTCGTAGAAAAAGAGGTGCAGGAGTTCATTAGTATAACTCATTAGCGTGACTTATTTGCATATGCCACACCCCCTGACATCATCGGAAGTGTGTCAGAAGGCAACACCCACTGCTCAGGCTCCACTGGACTGTTTTGGATTGCTAGCTATGGGGGGGGGAACGGATGTGCAGATCTGTCCTCACAGAGGAGGGAGAGCTTGTACCTGAATAAAACTTGGTCTTAAAGGTGCCACTGGACTGTTTTGGCCCGGGGCCCCGGGGGGGGGCCTCTGCAGCTTACCTGGCTGCTTCTTGCTCTGACTGAGGGCTGCTGGGAGCAGGGGGTGGGGCTTGTTGCATGTGCCCGCCCCCTGGGCTCTTTACTGCCGGAGCTCTGCTCCTGTGCGCTCTTGCAGGTAATGACCCCTGACTAGGAGGTAACTAATCCAACTTTAGTCAATTCATTAATTAAACTGATTTCATCCCTGAAGCGGAATCTCACAGACCAACAGTTTTTCAAAAACATTAGCACCTGAGAGACCAACAAGATCTTCAGGGTATAAGCCTGCCAGAGTCAAAGCTCCCTTCTTCCTTCTGAAACTATAAGAAGCCACTGATTTCAAATGGAGGGTTAGACGTATGCTAATAATGTGATTAAAAGTGCTCGAGTTTGGCTGATTCATGACCCTTACTATACGGAAATATTCAAATGTTATGTATCCTTGCTATCCATGATACAGTTGATGTCTTTCCCATAATTAGTTCCACTAATTCCTGGCTCACTGACATAAAATAATGTTATTTATTTATATGGGTTTTTACACCTTGCTATTTTGGCATGTAGCTCCCAAGGCAGTTTACAAAAGAAAATGTTAAAAAAATACAAGCGAGAGAAATAAAGTTAAACATACACTAAAACACCAAGCCACACAACATTAGCACCCAGCAGGATTAAAAACAGAATGCAGAAAAACGGCAGTAAACCCAGATAGACAATCTTAAAACGCCATTTCAAAGCATGCAGCTTCCCATGGCACTTAAATGTTAACAAAGATAGTGCTAAGAGAGCCATGCCACGGGAAAGATTATCCAAGTTTGGGTGCAATAGTAGAAAAGATCCTGTGTTCAGTATACAACTGCCTCTCCTCCAGAGGCTGGGGCCTCAGATGACCATCTTAACTATTGGGCAGATGTACCCTTCTGTGGCATGTAGGACCTCACAATCCCAGCAAGCTCCCAGATGTACTGGACCAGCTAAACTGTGGTATTTTCTGACCCTCAGAAACAAATCTACTTCAGAGAAGTACTTCATGTTATTTGATTATGTCTGTAAAAGCACAACCAAGAAGGTTTTGGCAGCACTGCCAGTAAACACAGAAGCCTGAAATTTGCTGTGTCTGAGCAGAGGGCCTGTGGCCATAGCAGCCACTGAAAACATCATTTTTTATCATATGTCTTTCTGTACAGATTTGGAGTCCTGAAACTGATATTCTTGTTTTGGAAGTTGTAAAAAATTGTCACTAACTTTTCATATAAAATTAATCTGTAGTGTACAAATATGATACAAGAAACAAAGTGTGCATATTTATTTACAATTCCTGCCACATCTCTGAAAGCAGTGTGCATCCAAATACCAGATCTCTTGCATACTACATTTTTCAAACTGGAGAAAGACTGCTATCCAAGCTCTGACTGGACTGATATGGAAATGCCTGACCCTGCATGCAGGAGATTAATGCACTTCACAATGTAGTTAAGCATATTTATTGATCAGAGACAGGTGTACATTGCAACAACAAAAAAGTCACAGATGTTTTTTGGCAACCCTTTCCACAGAATCCTTTTCATTGATATGTATGCTTTTTAGCTTGGTATTCCCCAGGAACTGGGAAAAAGTATACGTGATGGAATATTGAACGTTCTTATATTCCTAATATTGTACAGCTATGAATTTCTGCAGAGTTTAGAACCATCATTTTGACGGGACTTAATTTCAGTTTGGGCTCGCTAGGGCCCAGCCCTTGAAAATTAAATCATATAAAGGCATGTAGGCCTCTGAGCATGTGCAGAATGCATTTTCCTTTCCAGTCTGCAACTATGGCGAACCCCATATGAGACTAGTGGGCAGGGTATCACAATCAGAGTTTGGCTTCCCAGCAGGTCTGAAACCTGAAATCTATCTATCTACATTATTTTTAAATTAGCAACTGCATTTTGTAATTGATTCCCATTCAGTTTTAGAGAGATGTTTTCTGAACAGAACACTCATGTTGACGATGACACACATTTAGCAGCAATGTGTTACATGCTCTAAGTACATGCTTCACAAACATGATCTTATTCAGTCATACCAAATGTTCCTGGAACATCGTATTTTTTTCTGAAAGAAAACACTGCTGATAGATGGAATTAAATTATTTCTTTACCCAACAATATAGCCCTAATTCTCGAAACCCATGAACACATTTGACACCTGCACAGTGCAATCCAAAGAATAGTTTCCTGGGAGTAAGACCCATTGAGTAGACTTCAGCAAGATTATGAGCAGACCTGTTTAGGATTGAACTGGCAGAGCAGTGAAGGATATTTGTAAAATTCAGAGGATCTGGCCTAAACTTCCTTTGGATTATGCCAGCTCTTAAATGCCCACTTCACTATAATGAAACTACAGTTTCTGCACAAAAGTTCCAATATCAAAAATTTACATGAGATAGTTAAACCAGGCTTGAAATCTGTTTCAGAGACTGTCATGATTTTTCTTAAGAACACAATGATTTCAGATTTCAAGAAGCCCAAACCTCCTGCAAGAGCTTCAGGGCAGCTTTCTGTTTTCTCAGATAAACTGCAAGTCTAACCAAACAGGCAACTGGAAAAGCAAAATATACTTCCAGAAAAAGGCTACTCTCTTTCTGTCCCTCCTGCTCCATATGACCCTTGGAAAGTATCTCAGAAACTGCAGACTGATAATGCATCTTATCCACAAAGTAAGTACTGTGGAGGTCATCCACAGGTTATTTATCCTGTGACACTCCATCAAAATTTTCTAAAGCATCTGTCTTAATTCTAGGGACAGTAATAGTCTGGAGGACCCTAAACTGAAGTAAAGTCAGATTCAGGTGGGTAGCTGTGTTGATCTGAAGCAGCAGAACAAAGTTTGAGTCCAGTAGCACCTTTAAGACCAACAAAGTTTAAATCAGGGTATAAGCTTTTGTGTACAAGCACACTTCTATTTCTCTGTATCTGAAGAAGTGTGCTTGCGCAGCAAAGCTTATACCTTGAATAAAACTTTATTGCTTTTAAAGGTGCCACTGGACTCAAACTTTGTTCTGAAGTCAGTCATGTTGCTTCTTAACATGGAACTTGCTTCTTTAAAAAAGCTTGCTAATTTGCTAGAAATGATCTTCGAGAATTATATACAGGTGCATTTGAAAAACCAAATGCATGTGTTCGCTTTAAAAATTCACCAGATTATACAAGAAGGACTCAGAAGAGACAATGCCTTTGTTTCAAATTAGTTAATTTAATGAATATTGAATTCATTGAAGGTGGATTGAAAGTGGATTATCTCATGTGTGTGACCGCAGCCTTTGTTAGTAGTCAGTAGATTCGAATCTTAATTCCTACATAAAGAAGAAAGACGCTGGGAAAGTACTGTGGAAGATAACGGGTCTCTCCCTGAAGTGTTTGGTTTTTTTTGGAGCAAAACCTCAGCAACAAGCGTTTGCGGATCACTCACACAACCATGGGTCGCTATCGATGCAGATACAAAGTAGGCACATTTGCAGCCTGTAACGGCGCGCCGAAGTTTGCTGGCCCGCTCCTCCAGGCTCCCTTCCTCGCTCACTTTCTGATTACAGTTAGAAAGAAATCTCTTTGTCTGAAAGTGGGGGTGGGGGGGTGTAATACCGGCTTCCCCAGCCTTTCAAAGAGGACGTGCTTTAGCGCCTGCTTCCCTCGCTGCCTGGGGGTAGGCAAACGCTGTCACACAATGAGTTTTGTCATTGTTGTCGTGGACCCCGGAGGCTTTTGCCGCCAGACAGCTTCTTTCTCTATTGCTGGGACAGGATGCCGGAAGACAGCGTATACTCTGGTCTCTAGATATTTGTAAGGTAAAAAGGTTGGCGGACGGGAAACTGCACCCCACCGATCCCCTTGCCTTTAAGGTTTCCCAGGGTGCTAGAAACAACCTTGCCAAGGAAATCGGTGCAAACGCCCCCTCCCTCCTCCTCCAAACTTTTGTCTCTTTCTTCCCCTTTTACCTTTCTTCTGGCTTCACAGCAGCCCATTTTGCTCCCCTTGCAGCCCATCGCGCTTTGCCTGAGGGGCCGGGGGGGGGGGCAGCTCTGCGGAGAGTCCCGGGCGTTAAGAGTAGCCGCAGCAAGACGGGAAGGTTTCCATCCCGTGCACTGCCTCCTACGAGACCCCGAAACGGAACCTGCGAACAGTCTACTTGAACTTCATGCTTAGACAGTCGCGCACCGTAAGTATCAGAAGAGAAGGCCCTCAAAAGTTTTTCTTTTCCTTTAAAAAACAAAAAAACAAAACCCGTTAGCGATATGAGAAGCCAATCGCGACGTTGTTGACATGGCCAGAAGAGGGAGCCGGCTACCAAGGTCCTTCTCGTTGAGATTTAAAACAGATGAAGTCCTAAATAGAATAGGCCTTGGGTGAAGTCCTAAATAGAATTGCCAGGGGAGGCGACTTGGTTTGGCTTTTTGTCTGCAATCCCAGATTACTGTTCAGAAATCGGCAGGTGTATCTCTTCACCTGGTATCAAGGTAAACATTACTATCTACTAATGTTTAAAAAGGTAAAGGTAAAGGTTCCCTTGCTCGAAAGCCAGTCGAATCCGACTCTAGGGTTGCGGTGCTCATCTCCGTTTCAAAGCCGAAGAGCCAGCGCTGTCCGAAGACGTTTCCGTGGTCATGTGGCCAGCATGGTGCACGGAACGCTGTTACTAATGTTTACCTGGTCCTATAAAGTGGTCAACCAAGTTTTCTAGTAAGCCATTTATCTTCAAAAAACAAAACATATTTGTAGGTCATTTTCTCATAAACACATAAGAAGAGCCCTGCTGGATCAGACCAGTGGTCCTTCTAATCCAGCATCCTGCCTCACACAGTGGCCAGCCAGTTACTCTAGAGGGCCAACAAACACAAAACAGAGGCTGAGGCCTTCCCCGATGCTTCCTCCTAGATGCACATAGTGAAGGTGGTTTGGCAGAGAATATGCAGCCCATCAACTCTACCACTGCTTGGGTGAGCTTTGCCTTGATGCCCAGAATTGGTTCCCTGAGGGCCTTGTCTCTGCTTCTGAATGAGAACATCATGTACTGCACAAAGTGTACCTAAGGAAGAAGAGTACCGGACCATTGCTGGTATGGCACCACTGAAATTCTGTGCTTGCTGCTCTGTGCATAATTTAGTGTTGGCTCTTGATTGGCCTTTCTTTGTTATATAAGGGTGGCTTTAAATGTGATGCAGAACATTCAAGAACTTACACATGCAGCAATATATGCTGGTGCATTATTTGAACTAGGGCCCTGGCTGCTTTTCACATACTGTTATTATACCAGGAATCTGCAGCTTGAGCAGATGCTGTATTGATGCACAAGCATGGTGCATGTAGCAGTTGAGGGCCTATTTAAATGTGATGCTAGATACCTACCCAGCATGGCATGTCAATTCTTCTTGCTTGCCTTCCTTTTGTTTCCTTCTGGCCTTACTGAGACTTGCAGTCCTGTGTGATACTTGCAATTATTAAGAACCATGCAGCAACTGGTTTTGTGGCATGTATGAGTTTGGTTGTGTTGTCAAAGCCTCCCGTTTTGGCTAATATTTCCCAGCACTGTGGTCTTTTTACCCTGGAGCATCCAGTATTAGCTGTAATACGATAACCGTGTCGGATATGTTGATAGGGCAGGCTTCCTGCTTTCTGGGCAGCAGCATGGCAGGGAGTGTTGTGGTTACAGACTTCAGTTACTGCACATGTTTGTTTGTAAAATGTTGCCATTTAAATCAGGGGGCCCTGGGTAAGATTAGGTTACATCTCCTCAAGCCCTTCCCCCAGCAACAGAAGGATGGATGCTTGCCAAAGGGTGGGGGGAATCAAAGGGATTCCCCTTGAAAACTCTGTGAAATAAGTAACCAGTTTTGTGTCTGTGCCGAAGAAAGTTGTTTCATTAAGTTTATAGTCTATCACAAGAAGATGAAACTAGAGTCTTCAGTATTTGTCCACTAAGCATTATTTAAATAAGTTCATTTCTTGTATTCAAGTATCTGTTTTATCTTTATTTAGATACTTATGCCCCACTTTCCCCCCTAACTGGAAACAGAAGTGGCTTACAACACCATTTTTCCTTCTTTTATTTTATCCTCATAACAGCCCTGTGAGTTAGGTAGATTAGGCTGAAAATGTGTGACTGGCCCAAGGTCACCCAGCAAGGTTCCATGGCAGAGTGGTGATTTAAAGTCATGTCTACCAAATTCTGATCTGGCACTCTGGGCACATACTGCTCTGGCTCTTGATGTATGTATTTCAGACATGTTCTGTCAGTAGTTTTTCCCTGGCCCTTCCTGGTTTGGTGCTTGCTTGTACAGAAAACCAGAAAATCAAGCATAAGCAACCTGCCTGGAAAAAGCAGCTACAACTTGCTTGCCATGCAAACTGCATTGACTGCTTTGTAGTCCTGCAACTGCCTAAGCCCTACCAAGGAACAGTTGCAGAAATGTTTCCAGGATGCTGTTTTTAAAATAAGATGCAAATTGTGCATTATGTTTTTACTAGGAATGCCCATTGTGGAAATAAATACAATGAGCTCTAGAAAGAGGCTATGGGAGAGTGCCTTGGCCTTGGGCACTCAGCGTCAATTTGCTGTGGCGACCTCAGCAGGGTATAATGACACAGACTCCACCATTTTCTCCAGGGGAACTGATCTCTGCTACCTGAAGAGCAGTTGTAATTCTAAGTGATCTCCAGCCCCCACCTGGAGATTGGCAACAATGGTTCCCCATGGTGAAATGTCTGGTTTGGAGGGTGGAGTTTATGGTATTGTACCTGTCTGAGGTCCCACCCCTCCACAAACTTCACCCTCTCCAGACTCCACCCCTCAAATCTCCAGGAATTTCCCAACCTGGAGTTGGCAAACCTATCTCCCTCCCAATCATCAACCTACCTTTATCTGCCCCTCTGACTTCAGCTTTCCATCTCCCCCCCAGAGAACAGTTGTAATTCAGTCAAGCATCACCTGCCATTATCTTCAGCTTTCAGTCTCCCCCCCCCCCACACACCCCTGCAGGCTCTACCATGCTCTGAAGCCCTGACTGCTACCTCACATTGGCTGTCATGGGGGGGCATCTCAGCATGATATAAGGACACCACCATTTTCTCCAGGGGAACTGATCTCTGCCATCTGGAGAGCAGTTGTAATTCTGAGTGATATCCAGCCCTCACCTGGAGATTGGCAACAATAGTTCCCCTGGAGGAAGAGTACTCTTTCTCTGCAATGGGGACCAAAGCAGCTTGCATCATTCTCCTCCCCCCCTTTTGACTTGCACAACAACCCTGTGAGGTAGGTTATGCTGAAAGTCTTTGACTGGTCCAAAATCACCGAGTCAGCTTCTGAAGCATTGATTGCTACACCTAGGGCAGCCAATCTCCAGGTGGAGCCTGAAGATCGCCCGGTATCACAAATGAACAACAGATCTCTTTCTCCCCCTGGAGAAAATTAACTGCTTTGGATGGTGGCCTCTATAGCATTCTGTTCAGCTGAGGCCTCTCCCCTCCCCGGACTCTGGCTTCCTTAGCCTGGCTTCCTTAGACACAATATCTCCCTACCTGGAGCTGGCAACCCTAGTCAGGACTGGCCCCAATGGGTTCCTCACAAAGGCCTGGAAAGGGCTTCATTTCTTTGTCTTTTTACTGACAGAACCAAGCTTGTTTGCCTACCAACAGCCACTGAGGGAAACGTTAGTCCCACAGAGGAGCCAAGCAGGTGAACTGCCTTCCTCAGGAGAGAGAGAGCATATTCTGAAAGGGAACAGTGGCTGGAGTGGGTGAGGAAGAGGAGCAGACCCAGCACCTGGCCAATGGCACATGAGTACTCTTGAGTGGCGGCTGACAGGCCAATGGCTGATGGAGTGCACTGTGGGGAGGACTCAGGCAACGCAGCCAGTGGATAGGGACAGCTTCTGAATGACACATCATGGAACCAACTGATGTAGGAGCATGTGGAATGTTCAGAAAGTGCCACCCCACTACTCAATTATATATAAGGAGAGATAGGGACTATGATATTAAGCCTGTTTTCCAGGATTAGACCAAATTCTTCCTAGTGGAATATTTTTCAGGATTAGATCAAAGATCTACTCAGGCCCCGGTCACACATAAAGGTTTGGCCCAGGAGAGGGACGGATTGGGGGCGCAGCAAACGGGCGCGATCTCACTGCAACATCTGCCGTCCCCGATCCGTCCCAACCCCCAAAAAGGCGCAGCAAAAATACACCACCTACCGAGGTGGTTCTTCCAGCGCGGCCGCATCAAGGCCGGCCGTGGGATTGCCGGCGCGTCCTTCTGCCGGCGCATCCCCGGCTCCTGGCTGAACTGCGCATGCTCAGACATGTGCAGTTCGGCAGTCTCCCGTTCCCCACTGTCACTTTCCCCAGCATCTGATCGTGCCGGGGAGGGAATGCGCCGCGGCTCAGGGGATCAATGTGATCCCGCTGCCGCGTGTTTCTTTTGGTGCGGCTTTATAAAGCCGCACTTTCGCCTGTTCCTTTCCCCCCGTGTGGCAGGGACCCTAGTTGAGTACTTTGTCTTCAAGGGTAGTCAGGCAGAGGCCCTCAGGGGAAACTCTCCAGAAGGACCTAAAGGAAATGGTGTTCTCTAGCAGTGATCCCCAGCACCTCGTAATCCAAAGTGTATATTGCTTTCATGGATATATGTATGTATTACCTTTCACAAGTTTGGCTGAGTTTAGGTAATTTTTTTGTGTTGCTGTTGCTTCAGTTTATGGCAATTGATTATATAATTAAATGTTGTAAATCAGGAAAAAGTTTAAGAATAGAGGCATCTTTCAGATCGCCAAGACAGGTTGCTGTGCTGCAGTCACACTAACCTAATTGCTGACCATTAGTGAGCTTGGAAGGGATTTTTCTGCAAAGCATACATCAGCATAGGGCTTGAGCATTATCAGGCTACTCTGGAGAATGGAAGAGCCACAGCAGGATGAAGCAGCAATATTTAGTATTTTATTTCCCCATCTGCTGGCTGGAAAGTGGAAGTGTATTTCTTTTGTGCCAGAGGACAGGCTATATGAGTTTTGTGCACTGGGTGTGGGCCCTGTATAGGTGTAGAGTTGCTACCATTCCTGAACGGGAGGGAAGCTCTTCCTTGAAAGCATATGGAAATCTGTGGTATTAACAAGCACTGCACCAAGGCTGAACTTAAAAACAGGCAAACTAGGATAGCAGTGGGTAAGCATATCATGTAGGTA